TGGGAATGCGTGACTGGAGACGTGCATCAAAGAGTAATGGAACATGAAGAAGTGGCCCTCATAGAGAATGTGCAGACGCCTGCTTTTTAAGGATCAGCAAAGGAAATATAAGTTAGATGCTCAATGTAAATCAAATGTCTATTGCAAGGGAGCAGGTGCGTCAAAGATGACAGGTTATGGAACGTATCATTGTGTAGTGAACCAACCAGTGAACACTTAATTTTTTTTATGCCAAAAGAAAGAACACAGCATCTCCCCTTTGTCTTTCCCTAAGAACGGGGCAGTTATCACCCCTCAAGCAGAAAGCCTGACTCCAAACTGAAACACCCCAAGGAGCTGTGGCGGTTTTGGGGGGGACCCAACAGGGGCCAGTGCCCCTGTAAAACAGACCTTTGACCCCCTATGGCCCCCTCTGAATGAAAAATCTACAAATCATAGTAATATATCTTCCTTGCGACGATATGGTGCTGATGCGAAAGGCGGAACAAATGTGTCTCAACTAATCGGATCCTTTAGGACGTTACACCGCCACTGTCTGGTGTCTTGCCAAGGTAGTTATCCCTGATAGAAAATGTTTCCCTGCCGCGGGAGCACGCGTGCATTCAACAGTGAACGCGGACTTTCGACTTCACGAAAGTAAATGAAAAATGATGAAACATGTGGATTGTTTCATCTATTGTTTTATCAACGAGGTTTTTGAACGCTTTTATAGGCTAACGTTAATGTTATGTGTTATTGAACTTCATATTATTCAGTGCACTGAATTGAGAATGTCTAAACAAAATGAGCAGTTTCAGCGTTCCTCGTAAAGCAAACATTTATTTTGTGATAGTGTGACGATGTTATAACTGACAACGTAGTTGATCACTTTGTTGTCCAAGTTACTGTTTGGAAGCTAGATCGAGACAGACTGTCAGCAAGCTGCTCCTACAAATATCTACGCCATCGAGACTGTATTGACTGTATACTATGAGACAATATTTAGTCCTTGTAATCCATGTTTCCATTGCATGGATAGCCTTTGGATATTGCTGGAAATTGTTCTGAGTCGCCCTCCTTAAAGGGTAAATTATTATCATAACAATTTAATAATGCATTGCATTTAAACAGCATCTTTTATTATTCTTATATTACTTGCATTTGTTTATGTTTATTCCATATTTATATATGTCTACATTTATTTATGTTATGTTTGTGTACGAGTAGCACCTTATCACTAAAGCAAATTCCTCGTACGTGTAAAATACTACTTGGTAATAAAGCTCTTTCTGATTCTGATTCTGATTATTTTCACAAACAAAAGCGATAGCAGTAGCCTACTGGTCCTACCAGGCTGGACATGCAGACTGCCAAAATATGTATCCCCGTCCATAACACACAGATGACGGCCTACCATCAAGTATTTAATTTTGTGTATATTCACATCATGACTAATAACAGGGGTGATTATGGAGAAGTTTCTATTTTCCTGGCAAAAGTTGTAGTGGGATACAAATTGTTTCAGACTGTATTTTCAACCCGCCATAAAACAAATTGTAAAAAGAAAAATCTATCGAGTGCATCACTTTTTTCTTTGTTACACGACATCGCTGAGAGATTCATATCAAAAGGATGAATGCATGGGAGGATGTAAGCAAAGATGTGCGGCACAGGCGGCTGTCACCAATTGGCGAAACCCCATGGTGGGCCAAAGACGCTGCGCTTACAACAGTGTTTGGGAAGTTTGGGGATCCAGAGGGATGTCTTTACATTAATCTTGTTGTTACACTCAAGACCCTGCGATGCGTGCAAATTCCGATGCTTATGCAGAGGCTCTGCTGAAATACCAAACCATCCTCACTGTCCAGACGATTTTACGCATCTTCCAACAAACAACTCCACTTTCCAAGTATTTAAAAACAAGTGGAAAGGATTTGCTCACAGCCCATCGCTTTGTCACAAGCAAACATGACAATATGAAAAATATGCAAGGGATTTTAAGAGGGTAAAGGCAGCAACAGATGCATTTGTGCAATGGGCCAATAGAGAATTAAATGTGTGTGAGACAGACACAGAGGTGGAACACACGCTGCCAAACCGGAGACCAAAGAAGACAAAAAGGATGCCAGGCGAGTTATGTGATGATACAGCCATATCAGATGCTGACAGCAAGTATGAGGTACAAGTGCACAATGTCATTCTGGATTCCATCATTGAAAGTATTTCCCGACGTTTTGCTAAAAACAGAGAACTGTACACAGATTTCGCCCTGCTTGATCCCCAGAACTTCAATGGCTTGAAATGTAACGGTGTACCTGCAGGTGCAGTCAGTGCCCTGAGCGCCAAACTGATCAGGCTCGATAGCAGAGCAACTCCCGAGGCCTTACAGGCTGAACTACTTAGCCTGGCCACGCACTGGGACAAGCTGAAGTGATGAGAGATGAGTACTGAGGATGGAGATGATGAGCAGACCCCAGATGAAGAGTGAGATGTTGTGAACACAACATGCCAATCTTGCAGAAAGTGTCCCTTCTGTTGTTATTATGTCCTACAAAGGCATAACCTGCTCACTGACTCCTACCATCTAATCGGACTGTGATACAAGCTTCTGTTAACTCTGTCTGTGACACAAGTTGCATGTGAGCGAAGCTTTTCCACGTTAAAATTCACAGGAGCACCTTAAAAACTTTATGTTGATGGCAATCGAAAAGGAGACTCTGGTTTCTTTGGACACGGATTGCATCATTAAAAGGGTGGCAGAGAAGAGCGCTGATGCAACGGCTGCTGATTTAATAAGGTAGGACATGCTTCTTTTTATCATGTATTTTATTGTGGTTTGGTCATAACTGATTGGTCATGGTGCTTTATCTTTCTTAATCACGTGTGTTGTGTGCGTCTGGCCGCTACGCCACGCGTGTGTGTGCTTGTGTTTTTGGTCGCTGTGTCATGCTCGTGTGTGCGTCTGGCTGCTGTGTCATGCTCGTGTGTGTGTATAGACTGCAGTCTATGCGCCTTGCCGTGTACGCCTACAGTGTGAGAGTCATTGCTGCCTTGTATGGTGTCTCAGTGGGGAAAATGTCCAGATTCAGGGGACGGTTTTTTTTAACGTCATCACTTTGTTGGGCCGGTGAAAACCACATTGCCAGGATGAATTTTGGTCCCAATCTGACCTGGCATCTTGTGACCAATTTAAAGTTTAAATCAAGTCTGTAGCTGAAAGTGTGCTGAACTAGTACCCTTACAGAGTTGAGTAGGGATGAGGAGGATTTAATCCTTCTCTCCATTCACTTACAAAGTGTTCCTGGAAAATCTTGAATATTTTGGAAATTATTCAAGGTATCAATGAGAAAAGTACTACCCCTCTATTCATTGAGCTGAGCTCAACATTGACTCAGCGTTCACTCGAAATGAAACCGCCTTTAATCATCTGTTGTAGCTGCTGTGAATGTGAAACAGGCAGAGCTGAAGAAAGTGCATGATCAGCAAAACATTTGACTGGATAATTAAGCTTTAAAAGTTGTCATTAATTGTATAATGTTTTTTAAATTAGCTGCATTTTACTCACATTTCACGTTAATAGAGACAAATCCAGATGTCCTCCCCAGATCATTCACAGCTGCACAGTAATACTTTCCAGAGTCAGAGGACTGGATGGACCTGAAGACAAGCTGTGGTTCTTTACCGAGAGGATGAAGGTTTTGATTTCCATTCTCCTTGTACCAGGTGTATTTAGCTGCTGGGTTAGCATCACTGCTGCAGGTCAGAGTCACTGAACTGCCCTCCACTATCTCAGCAGAGGGACTCACTGACACAGAGGGAAGCTTTGGAGCATCTGGAGGAGAAAACATGAACACTTTTAACATTTAATTTCAAGATGAGGTTGAATTTTCACAGTGGAGCATTATTTCATTTCGGTGGTGCAGCTTGATTTCCTCGTGTATCAGAAACAGCATGGGTTTCTGTTACCATGGATACAAGTTGAACACTTTGATACATTAAAGATACAAGAACAGATAATCAGGGAATTTCTCTGATGCTGCAGAAGTTTTATCTGATCCAGAGAATTTAAACAGTCTAATGACAAGATAAATCTTGTTTTAATACATTTTCATTGTGAGTTATTTTACAGTTTAATTTTGCAGTAAAGACAGTGAATAAAAAATAATTATGCAACATGTCTACAATCTCATGGGGAAATGATTTGGTTTTCATCCAGTTCTACAATGAATCACCAAATACCACTGAGTTACATGCAGTTAATGTGCAGTACAATAGGTTAAAGGCTCCACCAGATGGTGTCATGTCAGTGGAAGACTGGATGTAAACTCACACACTGAAGGAGAGCGGAACTTCTCATATCCTCCTACAGCACAGGAAAAACTGTCTGCAGGATCAAAGTAGGCTGAATAAGAATTAGATGTTTGTCCACTAATGTTCTGTCCATTCTTGTACCAGACGTAGTAATGATGACCAGGTGGAAGACAACTGCTGTGACACTTCAGCTCTGCCCAGTTAGAAGACTCATAGATCTGTAATCTGCTCACCTGCACCTGGAGATCTGAATATGTGAATAAGGAACAGAAATCTTAACTTTAGACTGAACTGTCAACATAGAAACACAGTAACCTTCATAAGATGTTGAACATTTGGAACTAAATAAATAAATATTCAGATAAAATGTTACCTGTGACAGACAGAGTGACTCCAGGTGAACCAGTATATTTCCCAAGTTCTTGGTTTGTTATGAACCTGAACTTGTACTCAGCTGAGTCGCTCTCTCTCAGGTCTGTGATTCTCAGAGTGCAGCGGTTCATATGACAGTTATACTCCACACGACCTGAATACTCTGACTTTGTTTTCAGATCCACAATTTCATCACCTTTAAACCAGAATGTTTTCTCAACTGTATAACGGTAATTGTTTGTGGTTGGGTATCTGTAGGTGCAGCTTATTTCCACTGTTGATCCTTTGAAGGCACAGATCTTAGTATAAGTGTACGTCACTCCCCAGCCATTCTGACTCTGTACCACTGTAACACAGAGCACATCAGAAACAATCAACATTAATAACAGACAAAGTGGATCAAACTACCAATATGGTTTGAGGGAAACGTAACCTGGACAAGCTTCAAAATCCTGAATTATCTGCAGTCATTGTCACAGAAAGTTTATAAGGTGTTTGTCACATTTTAATGTTGTGACAAGTTACTTCTGGGTGTTTCTGCTTGGGTCCATTCATTCAAAAAGTCTAAACAAAATGCCTGAAATGCTTATGTGTCAACACACAAGTAATCCAAATAGAAAGTTAATAAAATGACATTTTACTCTCTTTTCTGGGAGAAAGCAGCAGAACAGTGGTACATAAAATACTCAGTTGTTCTGTATCATTCTTCTTCCAGCACTTCCTAACTCCTGTTCTAATTACTTAAAGCTTTATGACTTTTGATGTTATTTCTGAATAAAACTAGGGTGAACAGAGAGAAGTCTAAACACAAAGTCTTGCTCAGTTATTCACAGTCAGTGCAAAGGAAGATGTACACATGCTTTCTACAGTTCATCTCTATGTGCACTGAGGCAGGACATCATCCAGTCTGAAGGTGCAGTGAAGTGAACAGGAAAGTATCAGACCTGTGACCTTTAATGCAGTTTACTGACCGGGATAAGAGGAGAAATATAAATTATTAGAGAGTCTGTGCTTTTCTTGGTCAGTTCTCTCTTCACTCTGCGGTCAGGTTGCTGCAGAGTTAAGTGTGAAAGCTAAAAATAAATACAGCGCACTGAGGTGTGGGAGAGTTTCTAGCAGCTAAACATAAGATGCATAAAACTGCTATCAAGATCTCTGACTTTAGCACCCGCTGAATGAGGGTAAATTGTTGGCAGATCGTCAGACCATCCGCCATTTTGGCAGACAGAGAAAACGTTCAACAGAAAGACACGTGTAGTAAGTTTAGTGTAGCCTATTATGGTGATCGGTACACACCCCTGCCTCACACACAAGACACACAGAGCAGTCAGCTCAGGTAATATCTGTGGCGGTGTTTGAACCAAACTCAGCAGTGGAAGAGGCCCAGTCCCTCCTGAGTGACAGCCGGTGAGCTTACCAGCAGCACCGGCCAGACAACAGGAGGGAACTCCGGTGTTGATGGAGAATCATAAGCTTGTCAATCAGAGACAAGAGACATCACTTGGTTTTATTTTGTTGGCCAACTTTTGTATTGAAAGGAGTATTTTTTTTGCTTGTTGGGATCCAGAAGAAGACGTTTTTATAGAGATATGGACCCATTCATTGGTGGTTTAACTGAGTGTTAGGCTGCCTTTGAAATATCAGGCTGTTAGTGATTGTTAGGTTAAGTGAAATTAATGTCATGTACTAAAGACATGCACAATGTTTTTGTGTTTAAAATTCGAATAACATTATTTACATTACAATATGCCTAAATGAGCAGAACGTTCATTTAGTTTATCTTGGTGCATTTCTAAATTGACAGATACAATTTCTGTGTGTTAGACAAAAATACCTGCTTGTCACAGTGGCAGGCAGTAAAGAAAGTTATTTTTGGACCTTGCTGCTGTCAACACAGAGCACAGAAACATCACACTGAGGTCAGACAGTACAAAAGGAACTAGCAGGAGTTGCAGATGAAGATATGAGAGAAGTTGTGTCAGTATGACTTCACTGTGTGAGACCAGTAGGCCTATCTCTCTAAAACCTTCACCGTGATAAAAGTAGCTTCAAATAGGAACTATTTGAAGTCTCTGTTTCCGGTTTACACTTTCTTGTCTAATTATAGAAGTTGGATAATGGAACAAGCCGACACTTTGGTGCGTTAAATTGCATTGCACGTCTTCATTCAATGCGACAATAACACAGCATAGTGCTAACATCGTTTAGGCAGCATCAGCTCTGGAAAAATGAACTCACACTGTTCAATATACATTTGCATTAGCGCAAGCAGGACAATGAAATTAGGAAATACCCCCAAACTGGCTGTTTTCATCATACAGTGTGAACAACTGATCCTGATACTTCATTCTGATCCACTTATTTTCACATCTGACCTTCAGCCTACTTTTACAAGACATACATTTCCCAGATTCCCCTGTTTTAATGCAATATAAGTTTAGATATTCAGTACCTGACACAGAGAGAAGGAAGACGACAAATCCACTGGTTGCTGCAGTTAAACTCATAGCTGCTCCTCTCATCTCTCTGTGTGGCTTCAGAGACAATAAAACATGTCAGGAGATAAAATAATTTACAAGGCAGATATACAGTATCACTCACATCAATAAACAATTCTACTTACAATGAAGAAGGACGCTGTCTTTAAAGAAGCCTTCCTCTGTGTCAGCAAGCAGAACACGGATATCAGGCTGTTAAACTACTAGATTTCCTTCCTCTTTAGATTATTAATACTCATGATGAGCCAAATGCCAGTTAACACCAACATCAAAATAAAGAAGTAACGATTTGCAAACTAAGAACTTAATAAGAGAGAATAAGAAAATATTGTTATGGCCTGTTGGTATTAAACCTGTTTGCTGCTTCCTACTGACACAAGAAAAGAGAAAAGAGAACAGACAGGCGTGAAAGTTGGTTTCATGCATCACTTGACACGTCTAGTGCATCTTTAGACAGTGAAATAACCTTTATACCAGTATGAGTTCAAAGAGATGGACTGCAGCAGTATGGGATGTAAAAAGTCACGTGCTGAGCTCAGTGTTTATTCAGTATTGAGAAACATGTAAGAAAAGTAGATCAGAAACAATGAATTACATTTTGCAGCTCTCTCACTCACAGTCATTGTGACTCTGTGTCACTGTAACACAGAGCACATCTGACAAGATGCTGCTGGAGGTAAGACAGAAAATATGTCTTCTTGTAATTTGGGTGAAGTGACTCTTTGAAACAGGCAGTGGAGGGAGCTCTCAGAGTGAGGAAGCCTGAATGTGCCACAACAAAGGTTCACCACTAGAGGGCAGTGAAACATCACAGATCCTGAATCAGGACGCTGAAACATTTTACCATCACTGATTGTTAGGTCAAATTTAAGTTTACTTTTGGGGCAGTTAATTATTAGTGCCAGTAGATACAGGAAGCGCAGGGTATATAGTGTTGTTCATAGCAAAATGAGACAATCGAATCTGAAAATTGGTAAAGTCTTTGTTAGGCCTCCAACTAAGGATTATTTTTACTGTTGATTAATTTTTTTGATTATTTTCTTGATTAATCGAGTTGTTGATTGGTTTACAAAATATCTGAAAATGTTGACCAGTATTTCCCAAAGCCAAGATAATGTTTTCAAATGTCTTGTTTTTTTTCATATTCAGTTCACTGTCATAGAGGATAAAGAAAGCAGAAAATATTCATGCTTAAGAAGCTAGAATCAGAGAATATTGACTTTTTATTCTTAAAAAATTACTCAAACCAATGAATGGATTATCAAAATAGTTGGCAATAAATTTAATAGTTGGCAATTAATCATTGCAGCTCCAGACTGTGTGTTACTTTCAGCCTGTCCACCCCATTATCCCCAGGTCAGATCTACCGGTGTGCATTTTTCTCTGACACCACAGTGTATTTTCTTTGCTGCTTATCACTGAGAGTCACCAAAGTTAGAAAGTTGATGCTCATTGTGGCTCTATAAAGACACACAGCCCTGAAACTGTAAGATGCAACTTTTAACTAATTGACTGATGAAAATGGCTTCAAAAACTCACTTTACCATGAAGATAAACTTGAGCATGACAAATACTCTCAATTCCATATTTTCCTGATACTTTTACTTTTACTCTTTTGTTCTGGGCTTCACAGTAATATTTGTGTTCAGGTCTGATGTCAGTGATGGTGAAGTTCTGTCCTGACGGAGTTATGACGTCCTCGTGTAGATGTTACAATTTGCAACACAAATTAAACTTTTTGTATTTACTACATCAGAGGACTGTGGCTGTTAGTTTAGTTCACATGCAGTTCTTCTATTGACTGTGACAGACTGAAATTGTCCGCTGCACACAGATGTTG